GCGCTATACAGAACAGACACCCCACAGCGCTATACAGAGCAGACACCCCACAGCGCTATACAGAGCAGACACCCCACAGCGCTATACAGAGCAGACACCCCACAGCGCTATACAGACAAGACACCCCACAGCGCTATACAGACAAGACACCCCACAGCGCTATACAGACAAGACACCCCACAGCGCTATACAGACAAGACACCCCACAGCGCTATACAGAGCAGACACCCCACAGGGCTATACAGAGCAGACACACCACAGCGCTATACAGAGCAGACACACCACAGCGCTATACAGAGCAGACACACCACAGCGCTATACAGAGCAGACACACCACAGCGCTATACAGAGCAGACACACCACAGCGCTATACAGAGCAGACACCCCACAGCGCTATACAGAGCAGACACCCCACAGCGCTATACAGAGCAGACACCCCACAGCGCTATACAGACAAGACACCCCACAGCGCTATACAGAGCAGACACCCCACAGCACTATACAGAGCAGACACCCCACAGCACTATACAGAGCAGACACACCACAGCACTATACAGAGCAGACACACCACAGCACTATACAGAGCAGACACCCCACAGCGCTATACAGAGCAGACACCCCACAGCACTATACAGAGCAGACACCCCACAGCGCTATACAGAGCAGACACCCCACAGCGCTATACAGAGCAGACACCCCACAGCGCTATACAGAGCAGACACCCCACTAGAGACACCCCACAACACTATACAGAGCAGACACCCCACAGCACTATACAGAGCAGACAACCACAGCACTATACAGAGCAGAAAACCACAGCCCTATACAGAGCAGACACTCCACAGCCCTATACAGAGCAGACACTCTACCCCACTATACAGAACACAAGACACAGTCCCAGAGACACTCTACCCCACTATACAGAACACAAGACACAGTCCTAGAGACACTCTACCCCACTATACAGAACACAAGATACAGTCCCAGAGACACTCTACCCCACTATACAGAACACAAGACACAGTCCCAGAGACACTCTACCCCACTATACAGAACACAAGACA